TGCTGTGTCTAATTTCTCCTATGGGGGATCAATAAAGGTACATCTTATCTTATCTTATCTTATCACACTCACTTTTTGTTCTTCCACATCTTCCTCTGTGTCCTCTCCCTCTGTCTGTGCCTTCCTTTTAGAAGGTGCAGCTGAACTATCGAATGAAGACCTGCGGAACATAAAACATCTGAAATACATTCCCAGATTTACCCTCTATGGTGGCCCAGAGGTGTCAGGCCAAATACAAAGGCCAGAACACGAATACAAAAGTCACAACACGAAGCTTTTCTATTCCTGTTGTGACTTTTGTATTCGTGTTCTGGCCTTTGTATTTGGCCTGACACCTCTGGGCCACCGTAACCCTCTCACTAAAGATCAAATCAACATTTTGGCACTAACAACAATGAGACAAATCTGGCAGAATAGGTGGACAAAATGTTTACAAAAATATGTTACGGGACAAAGGAGGGGAGCTGCTGAATGTAGAAAAAACAAAAAATATAATATGTGCACAAATACTTGGACCAAACAGGCACAAAGACCTCAAAAAGGCTTGAACCGGCACTTTAAGCCTATCTGTGTTCTTCATGCTATGTATTTGTACAGATGTTGAACATAAATTCTCCCACTTCTCTGCTTTCAACTGCACCTCTCGCTTCTTCTAATCACTGGCCTGTTGGACCAGCCCTTCACACTATATTTTTTTGAGACTTAAGTGATATCTTACCTGCATGTTTCTCTTGTCTCCTCTATCTCTTTTAGTTCATCTTTACTGTTTAGGACAGCTCCAATACTGTCTGCGCTTTCAGCTCCCAGCTGTGGTTAGACAAGAGTGAGATAGTGTACATTTTTAAAAATATGTATTATATAATGCACAACCTGCGTATTTATTTACGTAATGTAAGTATATAGTGTATAGCTATATACACATGGTCTCGATATTGTTTTACTGCTGTTACTGTATATTTCACATTTATTATTTCTGTGAGCTGTATTGGCACAAATAGCCTGAACATGTTGATGTCTTTCATTTACAGTGAAGTTATCTGAGTCATCCGTCCCCCTCGACAGAGATCTGTTGTTGTGTTCTGTAATTGCGCTTCACACAAAATGCGTTTCTCGTACAACCTTGATATTCCTGTTACACAGTTAGCCAACTGGTTAAGTTTGTCGGACTAGCTACTCGCTAACAACAATAGGGAGCTCACTGTGCACTTGCCTGTTGAGCTAAAAGCTGCCGCCTAAGTTTTTGTCGCTCGCGGATCTCTTGCAGTCGACTGTTCATTTCCTCCTCTGTAATGTTTCTAATTAGCTCGAGTATTATGTGTCCTCGGTTGTTGTTACATCCAAACCGTGGCTGTATAAACGTGATTAGCTAGCTAACGTTATAATTGTAGCCAACAAGCAGCTAATGTGTAGCCGCTAAAATTCACAATGAGTGTGTTTGTTCTGCACACCGGGGCGTTCGGGCTAGATACGGCCTTGACAAATGTGGAGTTAGCCGCTCAACTAAAGATATTTACGCTGCGACTGCTTAATGGCTGTTGTCTCATTGGTGTATAGTGAGTTGGATTTGCAGCCCGGTTGGAGCGGGTTAAAACGGCGAAAGGAGCGGCTTAACGAGTGGTGACACCGCCCACCCGGGCGAGTTTCGGCGTACGCCGATTTTAAGGATCGTTACGTTTGCAATTTTATGGACGCCGTCTGATGGCGTCACTAGATATGACGCTTTTGTTTATCCAATCAGATAATACTATATTGTAGACACCGGAGCATTGCACTCTGGTGCCACGCCCCTCTCTCGCTCTCTCTCCTCTCTCTCTCTCTCTCTCTCTCTCTCTCTCTCTCTCTCTCTCACACACGTTCAAACACTATGAAAACATTTTCTTCATAACCTATTGCATTATGTCTGTCATCTAATACAAAGGGAGAGACAAAGCAAGTTTATTTTTATATCATTCATCATCCACTTACTGCAGCACATATGCCTCACTGGCTCCAAATGGAAGATTGTTCTTATTTGGATAGGCTACCTATTATTATTATTATTATTATTATTATTATTATTGAAGGAAGTCACAAAGCATATAGCTAAGCAAAACCAACTTTTGAGAAAACCCAAATAGGTTGAGCCTAATCAAGTAAGCAATTTGGTCATTGTCATGTTGTCTCAACAAACGGCTATTTCACCCTAAAAAGTGGATTACCAGTGTAATGGGATTAATCAATGATTATAGCCTACTGGATGGGTTCCCCTCAGCTTCCTGTAAATTTGCTTTAAATACCGGAGAAATGCTCTGATTCTATTAAATCACATACAATTACTCAAATCAAATCAATTGCTATAACATCGCAATATAGGGGGGATTCATTCTGTCATACTGCGTCTAGAGTGAGGGTTGGCTCCTTCTTAACTCTGGCAGTTGACATTCCCCCTCAACAGCATGCAGAGAGAGCATGAACAGAAGAGAACAAGAGCATGAACAGAAGAGAGCAGCCAATCAGCTTTCACTGAGCTGATCCTCAGGTTGTGAAAACACAAATATGAAATACTTTAACCACAAGAGCAGTTACTGTCAGCTTCTTTGCTGTATAAGACAAGCATCTGAAGTCAATCATGACACCAGGTGGAATTAACCACTAAAAAGTGTTAAAGACACCATTGCTACTGCTTAGTGTATACTGAGTGAGAGACGTCTTGGCACCTCCTCCTCCTCCTCCTCCTCCTCCTCTTCTTCTTCACTAGGGAGTGTGGTATGTTACATTCCAAAAATAAAAAATAAAAATAAAACCATATCTTCTTAATCCAATTAGTTAGTTTAGGATACTAAAATATGATTTGATAATACATGTTCTTTTTTTGTAACATGCTACTGTTATTAGTTTTAATCTTTCAGTATTAAGTTTATCTATTTTGAATAGTGTACTGTTGAGTTCAGTGTTTCCAGTCTCGATACAGTCTCATCTCTCCTGTTTCTTCCTGCACACATAATTTCCCTCTTTTTTTTGTGGATGTTTATTCAGACTAGACACGTTCAGCACATTGCTGCCTTACTCTGTATGGAATGATCACTATTTTTTTTTTTTTTAGCCCCTAATGGTCTAAATCCTTGGCTACAGACCTGTAATATGAAGACAGTTTCTTATTTTTACTCTCCCCTAAGAGAATTCTTAAGGAGTAGGTCTCCACTACGAGTTTAACCACTTCCTCCACGACCTTCCTCTTATCTGTATACAGAGCACTGCAGTTAAATGGTCTCATCACTCCACATTCTTCACATTTCCCATCCTGGTGTTTCCCTGCCAACAGTAGCCTACAGTGCCCCAGCTTTCAACTTGATTTCAGTTAACTATATAAAACCTTTGGTTGAATGGAAAAAAATGCCTGCCCTTTACCTCCTCCTCCCACTCTCTCTGTCGTTGCTTGATTATTCCTTCTCTAATTATGTAACCACATTCATGTCTACTAAAAGAAACACCAATGTCAATTCCTTCTCTCTCTAATGCAACCTTGGCCATTATATGCTGCTGTCTCATTCCTACATGAGCTGAAACCCCCCATAGGAACCCAACCCTACACCCCTGTCTCTCCAGCCTACGAGCCAATAGATCTGAATCAGAATTTCCCCCATCAGGCCCAGTCCTCTGCCTCCCCCAGCCGTGTCCAAACAGAGCCCCACTGCATGCATTTGCACCTTTGATCTGTGCCATTATTTTGCACTAAACTAAATACATAAAAATATAGAATTATATAGAATTGTGAGGAGTTTCGATAGATATGAAATAACTTAAAAATAAGGCTGGGTTATATTATATTTTTGACAACTGGAGGGAGGGGGGTGGAGGGCTGGGCTGGCAGGTTGCGATACCTGTAAGGATCAACAGAGGGTGTTGCACAATGCACAATGGACTAGAATATGATGTGCAAAAACCTGAGATTATACATCGTTAATGTACTGCTCCGTGTTGGGAAACAGGCCCATTGATGCAATCACAGATGTAGCTATATCCAGAAAACATTCATGCATTCACAGCCAACTTACCGCAACATAGCATATCAGACGACAATCAGATCATACACCTGATGACATGATGTCTGCAAGTCACAGAGCAAGACATATTTCAGTGTAAGATACTATACTTTGTTGTGGCTGTTTTGTTGTTCTTACGTAGCTTTTTGCTGTGGTAACATGTTTGATTAATTTAAATTAAAAGAAATTGAATTTAACTGTAGTTCAGACACTAGAGGCGCCATATGCCATCTGTGTGTGTGTGTGTGTGTGTGTGTGTGTGTGTGTGTGTCTCTCTCTCGCTCTCTCTCTCTCTCACACACACACACACACACACACACACACCTAATCACGTGTCAGAGTGTCCCAGTGTATTCAGATGTGCGATAAAAAACAAAGATGTGGAGAGAGACAAGGAGAGACTTAGGCGCATTCATCGTTACTGCTATCTTAGTTCTGTTGTGGCTCCAAAAAGGAACACCCTGTAATTTCCCCTCTTAATGAAACCAAATAAAATGTTTACTTGCATACCTAATTATGGATCCGCGGTTGACGGACATTGCGTATAGCATCAGAAACCATAAACAAAACCAACTTTGGAGAAAACCCAATAGGCTGTTTCTGTTAAAATAAACGTCTTGGTCATGGTCATGTTGTCTCAATCAGTTGGGAGCCCTGTTGTTCTGGGATTATACACAGCCTACTATTTACAGTCATCATCACATTATAGCCTACTGGGTGGGCTCCCCCCCACCTACTCCCTTTCATTTTTCTCCACATACCATAAAAAATATCCGATTCTAGCCTATATATTGAATAATATTGCTATTTCTATATTGAATTGCAGTTTGGTGGGAAATTATAAATATGTTATTGAATTTTCATTGAGGGACTGTCTGCCCCATTAGCCCCTGTAAATAGGAGTTTCATTGATCCGCGTCCCTTTTTCCTTCCTCGGTTCTCACTCTCGTCCCACGGCAGGGCGATGAGGCTGGCTGAACACCGTCTCCTCAGCTGATTGATAGAAGCTGCTGGTAAGAGGAGCCCCCGTATTCAGCTGCACACGATCAGAGACCTAACATGAATGTGGCGCATCTTGCTCTCACAGCCGCGCTTTTGGCTGCGAATAGCGGCTTCGGTTACTCCAGCAGCCTCCCTTCATTCATCCTGCCGTTCACTGACTGCGTGCAGAGCCGTGGGAAAGACGGCTTCTACCGGGGAGCGATAGACGTCACCGAGTCCGGCACCCGGTGCATGAACTGGACCGAAGTGGCCGGCTTCAAGGAGCGCTACCCGGGGAAAGGAATAGGAGAGCACAATCACTGCCGCAACCCGGACGGCAGGATCCGACCCTGGTGCTTTTTCATGAACCACAGAGGCAGAGTGGACTGGGGGTACTGCGACTGTAAACAAGGTAAACACACAGGCATATAGGCACACAACAATACCGTCTTTAGTAGGGATCCATGATACAGTATACACCTAGGAGAAAATACCAAAATAAACTCAGTGATCATTTAAAAGTCAATGCAGGCTGCCCCAGACACAGTAACATATCATATGCTAAATCAATTCTTATTTGGGTTAATGGAGGCCAGAGAAATGTAGTGTTTTTTTGCTGTGTGCAACTGTGTTAAGAATTATCTCGCCCCACTTGTCTTGAGTCAACTCCACTCAGGAAGCCCATGCTGAAGTAATGAGACAGGACACACCTTCAGTATCCCATTCCCAGGTGTGACTATAGTGTATGCAGATGGCAAGTCTAAGCACATTGGTGCTGTAATGAGGACACAGGTATTTGCTTATGTGGTGTTTATGGCAGTGAACACATGTCCAATGGATCACCAGTGTATGAGAGCAAACTGAGGATAGCAAAATAAAAATAGCTCGAGCTTAACATTATCAATACCTATCAAGTACACAGGCTTGAGCTACTAAGTGTTACTTAAATTAAAACTGAGGACAAAGTAGATCCTACCTCTCTGGATGGATGAAAGGTAGAGAAGCCAGAGAGTAAGAGTGGCGAAAGGAATTGAGTGTGTGATTTCCATTTGGCACAAGACAAGCAGTCTGTGGTATTTTTAGTCTTGGAGTGTGGCACTGCATGGGTAAATTATCTTCCGGTAATTGATACATGGAATTGACATACATTGATCCAGCTATTAAAGATGTTTGGATCATTAAACACCTTTAAGGGTCTTTTTTATGTGTGTGACCTTTTTAAAAAAAGGTATCCACACATGGCTCTTTTTTTGTCCTCAGGGGTGCTCCATATGGATGTTCTCTCTAATTTAAGTTCATATATGCTGATGGCAATAAGAGGCAGGCACTCACACACTCACAAATCTATCAAGTAGGTACACATATTGTAATCAGATTACTCCAACAATAAACAGCACACATCTACACACAGTAACCATGTTTTTTTATGAGGAAATATGTACATTTTAGGAAACACTCAATTCCAAAATAAAAATCCTTTTTATTCTTGGGTCAAAGAAAGAAAATTCTGTGTGGAGGGACAGTGGGAAAAATAGCCACATTCTCTCTATGGTTTTTCTCTTTTCATAGACTAGATGTAATGCGACAACACACATATGAAACGTTATGTCATGAACTGAAGTGAAATGAGAACTTGCAGCCGTTTGGATGTAGACAGATTCACCAGCTCATTTATAAGACAGTTGTGTGCTGGTATATGTGGTCACCTGTCATCTTCACAAAATGCAGCCTGCCTTCCTCTTTCTTTTCTTTTTCCAGTTGGGTTGAGCAACCTCTCATTCTGCTGCCTTACTCTCTCTCTCTCTTTGTTTCTACTCATTTAAATATATACAGATATAGTACAACACAATCTTTTATACTATTGTTTATCCCCCATTTTGTATGCGCTGTAGTATTATACATCTTTTGTTCTTTAACCCGCTTTCCACCCCAGGTTCTGTGCGCCTGCAAGGAGGCCGCTCCAAGCTTGATGGCAGGGTGGAAGTCTATCTGGGAGGAGTGTGGGGGTCGGTCTGTAGCGATGAGTGGGGGGACGAAGACGCTGCAGTGGTTTGCAGACAGCTGGGCAAGGGGTGAGTGAGCACACACGCACACAAACACACACACATGTGCTCAGACATGCACTATTTGCTGCTCTCCGCCTGCCTCTCCCTCTCACGTACATATTCAGACACAGGTGCAAGTACAATCACCATGTGTCGTATAAATTCAGAATGTGAAACTGCCTTCAGAGGTCTGACAGATGTCAAGAGTGTGATGGAAATTCGGTGGGAATGTTACAGACTTTCACAACGCTTCAGACTTACACATGCATGCGCCCTCTCCACAGTCTTTGTACTTTTCTTGTGTGACCCTTGCATTCCAACCCCCCATTCCCCAGAGGTATTTAAATACCTTAAGTGCTCAGCTATTTACCTTGTTACCAGCTTTCTCGTTGTCTCTGTCTGTCTCTGTCACACACACACATGTGCAAATGTGTCTTATAGTCTCAAATTATGAGATGTTTTCATGCTAGAAGCCAGGTCTCGAGGGAGCCTGTAGGCACATCATACATATTGACAGTGTTCATAAGCTCGGGTGTAGTTATTTGAGAAGGTGTCTGATTTCCCTGGAGAACAGAGATGTTTTGTGTGCACTCACTACGCATGTTGACACTAACACCAGCGCTGGCATGCATGCTGACATGAACACATGCCTGCCTGTGTGTGCATATTCACACAGGAGTCAATGAAAGTCCACAGCGGAAAGGAAAAGGGCAAATGTTAGCCACATGTCAGCTAGAATCGTCTGTGATGACTTTCATGTGTCTCGATATTGAAAGCTGTTGTGAAACTGCTGATCGCATTGGCCCTGAAATGGCAGATGATGAACATACAGATGGCTCAAGGTTATTGCTACCAGGCTTTACTTTTTACTCTGAGATTGGCTGCCTTAGCTTGGCCTCAGGATTTATGTCAGATGATAAAAAAAATGAAGCAACCTTAATTAGGTTGCATTTCTCTTAATCTTCTTAATGACCAACTCTTATTAGATGAAACTTGATTCACTGTTTGGTATCAGTTGTGGGTTAAAAATACATTATATATATATATTTTAAATGAGTAAAAGTAACTTTTTTGCTCTTTGATTTCTTTCCAGGATCTCAGGTAGTGCACGTGCAGTTCCTCTGTTTCGTCCGGGGATGGCTAAGCTCCATTGGAGGGCGGTCCATTGTCAGGGAGAGGAGCCAGACCTGCTCCAGTGTCCTAAGACTACCTGGAATGGAGGGGAGTGTTCTCTGGCTGCAGCCATCACCTGCACCCAGCAGCCAGGTAGGAAACTCCTCTTGGGGAATTATAGGGCTGAGATGGATGAATATAATGAGATCTAATGACTTTACACATCCTCTACAATTCTATAACTCCTGCTTCATTTTAGAATTGTCCTCAGTATATACTTTAAAAGAAGTCCTTTTGTTTCAGCCTGCATAGAATCTCAAAGTAGACTATGCAAATGTGTATATTAATGCTTGTGCGCCTTTCAGAGATAGCTGCGCTCCCTATACGGCTTATGGGAGGTCGATCACGATCAGAGGGCACAGTCGAGGTCTTCCATGCAGGGCAGTGGGGTTCCATATGTGACGACCAATGGGATGACAGTGATGCAGAGGTTGTGTGTCGACAACTAGGGCTGAGGTGAAGGGGCACCCACACACACACGCACACACACACACACAGGCAGATATAAATGTTCATATTTACATTAATTCCAACTGATAATTAGCATAGAGGAAATACACTGTGAATGTGAGAAAGAGTGTGACAGAGTGGGAAGCTTAGATGAGTTAATGTGGGTGTCCTGTCGTCTGTTTCTCCCTCTGTCTCCAAAAGTATGAGAAGTATTCTTTCCATTCAGACACACAGAGAGAGGAGCAAGCAGTAAAGAACATCTGGGGGTCAGATAATGAATCAGGCTCATTGTTCCTGCATGAATTCTAGTACCACAGAGATATGCATATTTAGCAACACTACACTCTGCAAATGTTCCTGTGTGCATTTTTTTGTGTATGCCACTGTGGTGTTGGTGTTGCAATGTTTATGTATGCACAGATGTGTGTGGCAAGCCATTTCTCCAAAACTGATTTGACACACAGTAGGTTTATTCCTTTCAATTTGCAGATTAAACAAATACTGCAACTTACAACAAGTATCTTGTAAGTCAGGACCAGTCAGTACATCTGTTTTTAATTGTATCGGTATTACTGCAAACCAAACCCTCTATTCTTCTGTACCGTCTCCTTTGTCTGTAGCGGTGTGGCGAGGGCATGGGGCCAGGCACATTTTGGCAAGGGTTCAAGCCGTGTGTGGCTGGATGAGGTGCGGTGCACAGGCAATGAGCTCACTCTGGAGCAGTGTCCAAAAAGTGCTTGGGGGGAACACAACTGTCTGCACTCTGAGGATGCAGGAGTGTCCTGCAACCCTCTCACAGGTAGTGACACCTGCCTTTGCATTAGCAATCCACAATACATGCATACAGGTCAAATACGGCAAACAGCAGCCAACACAGATGTATCATTAATAACAGTTGCATTCTATTTACATTTTCTGGTGCTAGGATTGTGGGGGGGTTAATAGAATTCCTAAATTCAATAGAGCAATCATTAATGTTTTTAGTTGCACCTGTGCTTTTCCTGCAATGATAAGTAAAAATGTTTTCTTTGAAAAAGGTACAGCAAATTGGTTTCAGGAGAGAGAAAAAGAGAAGGGTGCAAGGTAACAATGCTACCTTCCCCACATTTGCTACCCCTTTTGCTAGCAGAGCTTTCAGGACAGTGCAGGGTGGCTAGGTCTAGAAACATAAAAGCTGAACACTGATCAATAACAATTTAAAATGTGCAAGGCCATAAGAAAATATCGCTAATATAGCTATTTAATGCAATAGAAGGCCTTGTGAGCAAGGGCATCGCCTAACTCTCTGTCTTTCTCTCCAGATGGTACTGTTAGGTTGGTAGGGGGTGTAGGCAGTCATGAGGGACGTTTAGAAGTCTTCTACCGTGGTCAGTGGGGAACAGTGTGTGATGACGGCTGGATAGACTCTAACACTCAAGTGGTGTGCCGACAACTTGGTTACAGGTAATATGACACATTCATGCCCCCCAGGCACATGTAGGCTCACATCTTAATAATATGTAAAAATGTTATTTGTGTGTTTACTTGTCTACTTTGCAGATTAGGTGAGACTCTGCTTTTTGAAGGACTAGACATCACTCCAGTCCCACGGTTCGGGGTGGGGTCAGGTCCCATTCTTTTGGATGATGTGAGTTGCACAGGGAAAGAGCCTAGCCTATTGCTGTGCAACAGGAGGGAGTGGCTCCGCCATGACTGCACACACCATGAAGATGTTAACATCGCATGCAGCCCTGAGCGTCATGGAGAAAGTCTTCCAACCAGTAAGATTGAATTTTATCTTACTGTGAGGTTACGTAAAAGGTTAAGGTTAGGTTGGGTGAGAGAGGCTCAGCTATGTGGGTTATGTGTGTGGTTAGACACTGATATTATGCATCTAGATAGCAGATACCATAGTGCTGCTTGAAACGGCACACCTGGAAATGTGTGTCTGTGGGGGGGTGTTTGTAGATTTTAAACCTTGCTGGCCACCGATGCTGGTATTTCCCTTCATAAGTTTTAGAGTTCTCAAAATGCTCTTATTGATATTTTAGCAAATTTGAATCCCAATAAGGATGATGGATCATTTGTTTTTGTTTTTTACAACTGAACTAGTGAGTGGGCATCTGTGTTTGAAAATCATCCAGTCCTTTTGAATTATGGGGTGTCTAAATCTTAAAACAACATTTTAAGAAGATTTTACGAAGACCTATTTGTCTTTTGATTCCAGCAACCTCACTGTACAAAAATAAAAGAAACCATCTTTTAGTTAATTCCAGTAAATCAAAATTCATTATCCATTGTCCAAATTTCTCTCTCAGTAGACTTGCTCTGGGTGTCAGTTCTTACAATACATTAAGTTTTGATAAACACATGAATTCAGTAATCAGTCCGGTTTCCTGCAGGGGTGCACAAGCTCTATTTAATCTAGATTATTGCAATGCTCAATCAGATTAATGAAATTCTCAATATTCCTGTTTAAAACTCCTCACAAGTTTTACTACTTGAATCTGCTGCGAGTAGGAGAGTGCATAAAACTATTTTAGAATCTCTGCACTGGTTACATGTGTTTCACAGTTGACCTGAATGTGTATTTTAATCACTTTTATAGCTCATATGGCGGTTCACCTCTGACCAATGACCTTTTAACAACCTATTAGCTGAGTTCTGCCCGAGATCCTCTCATTGTTCCTTTTTAGTGGGTGGAAAACTATATGAGCCATTTGGGCCCCTCAACTCTGGAAGAACTAACCAGATAAGATTTATTTTAAATTTTGTTTAAAATCCCCTTTGACAATGAAGTTTTCTAGAACCACTTTTACTGAAATTGTACTTCACAAAAATGTTTTTGTTTCTTGTTAAGCTGTTTATAATATTAAGAAGAATTAAAAAAGAATAGGATTAAAAATAAAATGTTAATATTATTATCAGTAACAGTGTTAGCTTAACTGAAGAAGCCCAGCTTTTCACTGAGAGCATACATACTTTATAGGCAGTGTAAAATAGGAAACCAAATGGTGGAAGTCTCTATGTAATTTCCCTTCACTTAATAAAACCAGGTGATAGAAGTGTAAGCTGATCTGGAATCTGTTTCTAAGATCTCAACCTGCATTCAATTGGATCTCATCTTACTTGGAAGAGGAAAGCCAACATTCTCCAAGAGACAGATAGAGGATGATGTAAGTCATGCTAACTCTAATGGGAACAGCTGTTAGTTGGCTTATCCTACCTTATTAACTGGGTTGCCTGTGAAGTCATGAAGATTAAATGGGCCTACTGCAATACTTTACCTAGAGTAAGTCTCTATCATGCTCCTATTCCTCACTGTTCCTAAATAACTATGAGGTAGCAGTGGGCGACATGTTGCTACATAACACAAAATAAGTGCTATTGCACTTGTTAACTCTTTATAGGAAGACACATAAGGGTTCAGTTGTGTTACTACATGCTGAAAGTGTGAGGAAGTGTTAAATGGTAGCACCATTAATCAAGCTTATGTCTATCGCCTCCAGACACCAATAAACACGTGTAAGGATAGAGCTGGATGAAACCAGTAATGGCTCAGATTTGACCTCATACTGTATATAACTGTTCAATTCTCTGCCTTCTGTCACGATGTTGAATGTAAAAGCTATGAGTCTGATAATTCTGGTGAATGTCACAGAAAGGATACATCATGTTTTAATGTTGTATGTGATGATAAGTTGGGTTTAGGTAGCTTATGTTGCTTGGAAAGAAGCTGAAGAATTATGTCATTACTACCTTACGTTTGTGTGTGTCTGTTTGTTTTGTGTGCATTTGTTTGAGTGTTTATGTGTGTACGTAAATCCCTCCTTCCCCCTCAACATGCCACAAGCAGATTGGTTTATGTTGTTTTTGGAAAAGGAGAAAAAGCTGATAAGCCAGACTGTGCTTTCATCTCTCTGTCTGTCTACCTCCCACTCTCTCCCTCTCTCTCGCTCTCTCTTTCTCTCTTTTGTTAGAGACCATCGCATTAGGGTTGTGTCTGCTGTGTATGTGTGTATGTGTGTGTTTGCTGGGGGGGGTGTCAGTGTTTGTGTTTCTAAGCGAGAGGACAAAGATGAGCATTTCCTCAACAGCCAACACCAACTAAGAAGTAAACATTCCCACAATTAACTCCCCCTGTCTTAATCTCCCACTCCTACAGTTCTTATGTTCTACACACACAATGTTTGAATGTGCCACGTCATTCAACTAAATACAGTCACACTGAATGATTTATTTCAGGATAAACGGGCAGCTGCTGAAGTTGTTGTAGGATTTGATATTTGCAGAATGTATATGATAGATGAGAGACAAAATGCAACAACCAACTATATATATAACAGCATAAAAATACCTGACACTTGGCAAGAGTGTTAACTGATCCTGAAACTGTCCACACATGGAAAAGACATTGCCATTCCCCTAAATGAGATTAGTGTGTGTTTGTGTGTGCATGTCTGGGGTATCTGTGTGCAGACAAATGATGATGGATTGTTTAAACATAAAGGCCAGACTGATTTGATTAACAGTGTGAGTGAATACCATTTTAAAAGGAAAGAACAAGAGAGGGAGCGTGTGAAAAACAGAGAGGCAATGAAAAGAAATGATCTTTTCATAGTGACAGGAGTCTAACAATTTCCCCTTCTGGAAGCACAAGCGGTTGCATGCATGAAAACAGACAGGTGTTCAAGCTACTTCCTTCCCAGGGAATATGAGCACACATGCCCCCTTCATCAGACCCGTGAAGCCCAGAAGATCAGGATTGTTAGGGAATGTGTGTGTTAGTGTCTTTGAATATTTCTAAACTCAGGGGTTTTGGGTAACTTCAGCCAACAGTGTGTCTAAATCGTGTTTGTGTGTTCTTCAGGTTTGCCACTAAGGCTTGTGGGAGGAGAGAGCCCTAGGGAAGGCCGGGTGGAGCTCTATCTGTCTGGACAATGGGGGACTGTGTGTGATGACGGATGGACTGATCGTGACGCTGAGGTGGTGTGCCGACAGTTGGGATACAGGTATGCGAGTGTGTGCTTGTCTGTTGGAGTAGCCACTTTGATAGCCTTGTGTTTCTGGGTAATGTGATACAAGGACAGTGACTTGCAGATGAAGCTGTTGGAAGTGGCTAATTCAACACATTGCTTACTAGATTCAGCTGAAAGTAGTAAAGATTAAAGTTTAAAGATATTCATTTTATGGATAAAAAATTGTGAAAAATGCTCAGACCAAGATGACCTATTTAAATAGTTTTTTGTCCAAACAACAGTCCAACAACCCCAGAGATATTTGGTTTATATTGATAGAAGGACACATTTGTGAGAGAAGAAAATGATGAAAAGATAATTAACTATCAATGCACCTCAATTGATTAATTCAAGTCTAGGGCATTCATACCTTATTAATATTTGGAAAGAATTTCAGATTGCAGTCTGCCTTCTTGGCTGCATTTGCATTTGGTTTTTTAAATGCCTCCACCCTGGCGATAACTGTGGTCGGAGGCATTATGTCTTCGGGTTGTCCGTCCAATTCAAATCTTCGTCAACGTCCACATGGACTCATGGATGAACTGATTAGATTTTGATGGTCAAACATCAAAGCCACTGTGACATCCCAAAAATGCGTTTTTGGTCACAACTCAAGAACTGAAGCGTTAATTATGACAAAATTTCACATAGATGTTTCATGAGATACAATGATGAAGGGAACTTTTGTCTCCAACATCAGGACACTGTATGCACTCTTTTTCTCACCCATACTTAACTCTTAACCCCACACCATCCCTTATTCCCAAAACTTTCCTCTTGTCCTGCTCTTTTTCAACATGCTTTTTATTTTCAGTCATGGTCAGGAACAAGGTAAAATGCTGGATAAAAGCTCAGTTGTGAGCTGTGCCAGTGCAATATGATCACTTTATACATTACACTCACTAAAGTGGATCCAGACTGCCTACTCTGTTCGCAAAATCAATCTCCACTTCTCAGACTTGGCATCTGTCTTATACTCACTCCCACTTTCTGTGTCTGTCTTTCATCTCTCCATCTCTTAACCCTTCTCGAGTTTCAAGCCAACCTACAATGGAAAAACTACAGCATGCTTTGAATCGTTTAAAATTACCATATTTCCCTAATTAATCTTTAAAAATAGTGCACTCTGGTGCCACCTCTGGTGTGTTGCCAGCTGCTTTTATTAGGGGTTTTAGCTGTGCCCTTTCGCAGAGCCAAGATAAACATCCAATTAAAGGACAGGCCAGTTGTGCAAGTGACACATTCACAATGACAGATATGTTGAGGCGAAGCAAACTACCTCATCTCATCACCTCTGTTTCCCATTATCTCTTCTCCTGAGATACTGTCCCATTTTCCATAACAATGACAATGGGATGGCAAGGGAAAACTGCACCGTGACAAACTGTCAGCAAGGGATACTCATCCCATAGCCACCCAATTTTCTGTGACACATCTGTGCGTAGATGAAAGCCACATCTGGAGCGCATAAGCGTGTGAGAGAGAGAGAGAGAAAGAGGAAGCGTGGAAGTGTTGGAGGCGTGTAAAAACCATGTAAGGATCATCACTCTGTCTCGCACAGGGTGTGGTGAAAGGCCATTACATACACAGCAGGTCCCCAAGGGTAACAGGTTGTTCTGGGGGTGATAAAACAAAATATATGCAGACACATACCCTTTCACACAAATTATATTCAAAGTCAACAGTTTGACCTAGAGTCACCCTGAATGAGGACCTACATGAAACTTACACACATGAGAAAAGTCTACCAGTGTAAAACTTTAAAGCATTGTTTGACAACAAATTAATGAGCTAGTGGTTTAAATGAAGCCTGTAATGTGGACCGAATCGTACGGAACCATACTTAAAACATACAAGATACCACTATTACTTTAGAAAAACCAATGGAGCCATAATTAAAGTTCGATTACAATTTATTACTATGTAAACAGTGATTAAGTGGAAGACAAAGGGAACTTTTTTATCCACCTCCAACCATTTATGTTGTATTTCTGCGAGGCTGCACCATGAGCACATGTTGCAAAAGGAAAAAACGCAATACAATAGTACAACTATACTGTATGTCATATACAAAGTGCTTTACATAACACTTGAACTTCAAAATGAATTGAAAACAATTTCAAAGGCAATCATAACATAACATATTGTGAGTCACACTGTGAATGTGTCACCATGTGACAAGAATGGAACAATAAGAGGTTTTTCTTAGGCGAGGCAAGGCAAACTTATTTATATGACACATTTCATACCCAAGGCAACCCAAAGTGATTTTACAGAGACTATAAGCAAAAGCACAAACAAAACAATAAGCAAATGATAGAAACAATTTAGATTAGATTAGAACACATCTTAGATTGAGGAATTAGTAAATGCCTGCAACTCATGATTTATCCAAGTCACCTATTCTGCATCTTTTATTCCATCTTCCCATGCAATATTTAGAACAGACCCACTAACAAAAATGCCATTTGAAAAATGGTTACCTAGAATTTTAAAGATAATTCATGGCAAATGGACTGTACATGAAATATGATGTCTGAAAAAACACTTGGCTTTCCTTTCTAACTTGAGCATTTACGATTCAAAGCAGATTGTATTTCATTTTTGACTGATGTTGTGTTACTGTGTGTTGCCACAGAAACACACAAAGCAGGCTTGATGTCATTCTCTATAGGCTTAGTTCCAAGTGACTTGGAGGTTCACCCTTTCCATGCTAACTACCGCTCAGGGAGCTATTGGAGACACAGACACAATTGTAGATGTCTCAATAAGAGAGATGAGATTCCCTTTGGATGAGTGGGGGATACAAGACCTGCCACCCATCAAACCCCAGGGATGCAACATGAGCTCCTCTCAGTCAGTTATCTATCAATCTTAATTAAAGTCACAGTTGCAGCCTAGACAGGCACACATACACAACCACAACATACTTCCCTCTGTGTGTTAGCTGACTGCTAATTAAAGTCAGAGGTGAGATAATGATACAAATACTGTTGTTATCAGATTGGAAAAGTGCTTTGACCCGTTTACGTCACAGCCAGAAAATGTCAAACCATAACATCTAACATGTCATTACCGCCTGTATGCTTGTGTTACAGACAGAAGGATGGAGCAACTTTTGAATTTTAACATGGTTAAAGGTATTTAGGAAAAGATACAAAAAATTACTTTATATGATAAAAAAATAAAATAGAAATTGAGCTTAAATCAAAGAGAATAAATAATCAAATCTGGCTTACGCATAATACAAATTTAAAATGACATAAACTATGACTAGTTGCAGCACATCTGCAAATGGTTTTAACTGCTGTAGGTTGTCTTTTATCAAAAACAAAGGGCAAGGAGCACATTTCTCTACTCAAATGTTGAGGAATCTCTTACTATTAGGTAATGCAACTGAAAGCTTCATAAATTCTGTTGTTTTTCTTAACTGATGTTTTGCTTTTTTGTTGATGTTATGTTTTGTAAATACGATTTTGTTTATATTTTAGTATTTTAGCATTTTGTCCCAACAGCTGTAACAGTTTTCCAGTTTAATTTAATTTAGGTGGCAATGGCAACGAAATGTCTCTGTGTCCTGTCCATTCTCTACAGTGGGGTGGCGAAGTCCCGTGTGATGGCGTACTTCGGGGAAGGGACAGGACCTATCCACGTGGACAATGTGAAGTGCAGTGGCGAGGAGCGTTCGTTAGCTGACTGCATCAAACAGGCGCCCGGCACGCACAACTGTCGCCACAGTGAGGACGCTGGGGTCATCTGTGACTACGGTGAATCGCAGCCCATCTACAAAGAGGTCAAAGGTCAGTCAGGTCTGTTTTTCACCTAATGTTGCTTTAAAAAAAAAAAGCTCCAGTGACTTATTTGGAGCATCTGAGTGTGCACTGCATGAGACTATAGTGTGTTTAGCAAACATTTCCAATATGTCATATACACTGAAAAACTAATGAGAAACAAATGACAAAAAAAAAAAAACGCCACAAGCTTAGATTCTGAGAGGAAAAGGACTTCAGTGTGTGTGTATATCCAGATGGTAAAATGGAGAGAGCGATGTTATTGCTTCACCCTGTCTGTCAGACATCAGGGCACAATGCTATCTGTTACCTGCACATATGCTATTACTTCCATTTGTCACGTGCACAGTCAAACCAGTGCAGGAGCGTGTTTTGTCTCTTCAGTATGATAAATTACATCTTCTAAAAAGGACTTGATGTTTGTAGATTTTAACATCACATGCACACACTATGAAAATGATCCCTAATTTATTTAATTTACTTCATTTCAGGTTCATATGAAGTGTTAAAAGATGAATTTCAAACATTATTGTAATTTCAATCCGTCTAAATCCTAAATGTATGGTTTAACAATCATCGCCCTCCCACACACTCTCACATATACACACCCAATGGTTCCTCTTTTGTCTCTGTCAGACCCTGTCAAGTCAATTTGTGGTCTGCGGCTCAAACACACTCGCCAGCGAAGAATCATAGGAGGAGAAAACTCTCTGAGGTAAGCTGGAAGGCACAGAAGGGATTAATGAAAGCATATAGAAGGCCTGCCAGAGACACACAGGGATAAAGAATATTGGACACATTTTCACATCAACTAGTCTTAGAACATGAATATACACAATATATGAAAGCATGCAAGTGAGTAAGAATGTCAGTGTTAAATGTGAGTGTGAGAGAAACAGGCCAACACAGAAAAACTCTTTAAAGACAGAAAGAGGCTGGGATAAACAGAGAGAAAGGCAACATTTATGCTTATTTGTATACAACCCAGTATGTGCGGACATATTTATGGGTACCAATAAATGTTTTTCTTTACTGAATATTTATTTGTGTGTGTGCATGTTTAGATGATATCCTGCATGTTTACACTTAAAATAACTGCATATAAACTAAAGCTAATTCTGCCAGCCAGGTATGCCAATGTTTAGTGTCCTCCATAAAATCACATAAATTATATTTGGATAGAATATACATTTTGCTACACATGCTGACTTTATAGTACAGTTGCTGTTTGTTTGTGTGCATGCTTGGCTGTATGTATGTGTGTCTGTAGGGGTGGCTGGCCATGGCAAGCTGCGATTCGTTTGCGAGGATCTCGAGGAGACGGAAGATTGGTGTGTGGAGCGACTCTCATTGACACCTGCTGGGTCCTCACCTCGGCACACTGCTTCAAGAGGTCAAACACACACGCACCCACGATCATCTACTCACACATGTTCAGTTTGTTAAGCCGAATAATCTCATACAGCAGTTTGGACCGACAACACTCACAGTCTGAGGTAAAACATATAAAACAGTTTATTTACACAAAGTAGAAAACAACATTTTGCCAAAGCCTAAAATATAATTAAGAATTATTACCTAATAGAATAATGGAATTAAATATTAAGGGAATAAAACTACAAAATTGGTTAAAACGGTAAATAGGAAAAGTCTACAATAAATTAAACCAAGAAGATAAAACAGACTAAGATATCTAGGTAAAAAAAAATCAATCAAGATTACAGTGAAACTCAATCTAGGCAAATAAAACCTGTGTCACAGCCTGACTATCAGAATGGGTACCCCAAAGTTTCAAGTTCAGCTCTGCCCAGTAGTCCGTGCTACTGGACAGCATAGACAGTTTTATGACGCAAAACCCAGAGAGGGGGAATATTTGTTGCACAGCCAGCCAGGAAATAATAACATTCCTTCACTTAACTGTTTACTCAATAGGCACGCATCTTATGTCTCAACCCGGCAACCACTCGCGTGTCCACAATGCTGGTCAGTCTACATTTCTTCGTATCAACGTCTGTGACAGGCTTTTGAGGGAGTGGTCACATTCTTTTTGTGGGTAATTGAAAATCACATTCCATATTATATGCAGGGCAAACAAACAATATTAAAATTTGCTCCAAAAAATCAATACAGTGAGAAAAAAAAAAAGCAATTAAAACAGCAAGTATTAAATTAAAACATGCAAAAAAACAGTGCTCTAAACCCAGTGTGAAATAAACTGCAAACACAAGTGCCTTTCACACTGTGTGTTTAGATTTTCTGCATATGTTGGAGTTCTAACATTTATCTTTATTCATGGGAATGTGGACGTGCTCATGCAAACATTTGCCTGCGCCTGTAGCTTGAGCTACACCCGAGCCACGCAACCTATTTAATTCCTCAGTATATTCAAGTCTGACAGAGAGAACCACAACAATGTGAGCAGTATAATCAGTAGTGGTTTGGCTGTGGTGCAGATGGCAGGGAGACAGCCAGAGTTACTTCATCTCAACTTCATCTGGTCTGGGGGCCTCCACATGGCAGCACCAACATGAAATCTATCACCTAATGCATACAGCAGAGAAGGCAGCGGAAAGACATTTGCAAAAAAAGAAAAGAAAATGAACTGAACTGAGACGTAGCCAATTTGTGAAGAACTGAAAAAGTTAAATGTTGTGAGGGCACTGACCCTAAAGTCTGCATTTGATATTTATACAGTACATGTAAGGTTGTCTGGCTGTAATTTAAAGATAATATCTTTTGGTTGCAGTACCAGGTATTAGTTCCAATGTTTGGGTTTGGTAGGAAAACCAGAACTCTTTACAGACTCCAGCAGTTCCACCACTATAAATCTCGATGTTTCCACATTAAAGAAAGGAAGAGGTCATTCACTAAATCCTTTCCACTACCATTTCTCAAGCAATTCCCAGGCCATCTCCACTACCAGTTTTACTCCTAATAGAGGAACCTCTCCTCTCTGATGTGAGTCTTCCTGTACTTTTCTTTTAAATCAAGCACACAGGAAACACTTGGGATGTAGCAATCAGGACTTGTACAAATTATTAATGTAAACAGTGTGATAAGTTGTACCAGTGTACTTGCAAATTGACTCTCTGCTGACAATGGTAAGTCATTTAAAACCACACAGTAGGCATTATACTAGCTGTAATTGTTGCCATCAAATATGACTATGACTATGAACTTCTTATTGTTCAACCGATTGTTATTGTGGCTGTGTCATGGCTTGTGTAAATTATTTTATGTTGGGTTGGGCTTACCCGCCTACTGCCCTTACTCTTTGCTTTTTATATTGAATGAGATTTAATGATTCATTGTAGCTTGTGGAATTCATTTGTCAGTGCCAGAGGAATACCATTCCTGCATTAGCTGCTGACTGCTGCAGGTTGGCACATGATACAGAACAAATTACTAATAGTATTAGTAGTCAGTTCTTGTGTGTTTACTCTGGCTCAAAGGATAATGTAGACTCACACAAAAATATTACAGAAATTATAGAAGGTATTTTTAGCCGTAAGTAGGAAATGTGTTATCATAGATATCACAAGCAGACAAGAAAGGTCAGACACTACCAAGTATTGCCTGATCACATATCAGCCTTCAGTGCTCCAGCCTGTTAGCTCCAGATATGACAGCTTTGAAAAGTAATTTGCTACATGCAAGCCAGAGCATGCAGGCCAAGATAGGGACTTCCGTCTTTACAGTGTCACCTTTCGTATATGGTGAGCAAAATAGGGTACTCACGCAAGCACACACACAGCAACAAACAAACAAATACACAAATGAAGTCACGCAATACACAGAAAATACATACACAAGCTGGCATACCCAATCCTGCACACAAACCCAGATTATTTTTGAATGACGTGTTAAGGTGCAACTACCAAATGTAACTAATATGATCATATTACCTTGTCTCTTACATTACCATTACTGATTAGTGGTCACATGCTGTTAACATATTAAATCTATTTATACCTTGTAGCTGTACAGCTGGGATCTTGCCAACAGTAACAAAACTCCAGCAGACTTTTACAACAACAACATGTGAAAAGTAACTTAGGTGTCACATTCACACTCCATTCTATTCCTGATATTTTGTCTTTAGCACAGGATCAAGCCTGCTAGTTGTGAATCACACTAGCCCCAAACGTGTGTGTGCGTGAGTGTGTGTGTGTGTGTGTGTGTGTGTGTGTGTGTGTGTGTATGTGTATGTGTAGGTGTACGTGTAGATGGGTATGTACTGTACGTAGATGACTGGTCAGCAGTGTCTCCCCTCTGCCAGGAACATAGTGGCATTCCCAGGTCAGGAGATCTTTCCGGAAACACTCTGCCAGTTGTAACTGGACACAGATACTTGGCTCTGTTGAAAGGCCTCCTTCTTTCACTCTTCTCCTCTTCCTTCTCTTCCCTCCCTCCCTCCCTCCCTCCCTCCCTCCATACCTACCTCTCCTTTGGTCCTGTCTTTGTCCCTGACTTACCCTGCTCCTCTCTCCCACTCAGTTTCCAAAACATCTCCAATAAGCAAATGGAAGGTGTGCAAAACACTTCATTTTGTCAACCTATGAGTCAGACAAAGCATAAACAGACAGACACAATGACAGATTTATTGTTATCATTCTTGCCTCGGCTCATTCCCTGTCCAGGTTTTCAGTTTTTTAGCCCAGCCCCCCTTAGTTAGGATTTAAAGTGATAGAATGTATCAAAGAACTGAAGAAGGACTGTCCTCAAGGGGAGCACAAACATAATACAAACTTCATCAAAAACAAAAAATCAACAAGGGTATGAAATATATTATTGAAAGAAAAACTTCACATATCAAAATGATTGTGTGGAGAATAACACTATGAAGCCTTAAAAATTCTGAAGAAAAAAATGGATGGTGGAATCTATTGCAGGCAGCATGTGCAGATTTTATGACTGTGTGTGCTCCGTGTACATACTTGTACTTTTTCCAGCTTTAGATGACCTCATGCTGAGGTAAACTCATAATTTTACTGCGTGTGGTTTACAGTATCAGCAGTGGGATACACACACACAAACACACACACACACACACACACACACACACACACTCTTTCACTAATGGCCTCTGTCGATCCATCCTTATTTCTGTCTGCAGGTATGGAAACAGCACCAAGCAGTACAAAGTTAGAGTGGGCGACTACCACTCCCTCGTCCCTGAGGAATATGAAGAGGAGTACGCCGTTGAGCAGATTGTCCTCCACCCAAGCTACCACTCCCATAGCAATGATTACGACCTAGCCTTGGTTCATCTGTCACCGGGGGCAGTGGGCCAGATGCCGGGAGAGTGTGTGTCATTTAGCCGTCATGTTCTTCCCGCCTGTCTGCCCATGAAGAAAGAGAGAGTGCTCAAACAAGCCAGCAACTGTCACATTACCGGCTGGGGTGACACAGGTGAGAGTGTGTGTGTGTGTGTTTGGGAGGGGGGTACGATGGCCCTTGAGGTGCAAAACAGAGATCATTTTATTTTTTATTTAGTTGTGTTTCATGATTTTTTAAGTCGCATCTATTCATTCAAATGAAATGGTTTTACACAATCATAGTTAGCAAAATCATAGTGTTTTTTTCATAAATACACAAAAAATATCTAACCAGGGCAATGGAAAGGTAGACAATATATCACTGTATACTGTCACACTGGAACTAGTTATTTTTGGTAAACTCCACTGTACATTTGGACAGACAGTGAAACAGGCATGTGCTGCAACCACAATAGTATTCCTGCCATTTGTTATCTTGAAAAATAATCCTCCAGAAGTAATTACCCTTGTACACTCTACTGGGACACACATCTGTGAGTAATCTTTAAATTACATGCTGATGTCATTAATCATAGCAACTTGGTCACAAAGGATAGAAGGTCACAGTACACGCTTGTGCAAAAACATGTACTCCCTATTGAGAAGTTAGTGTGTCTGTTTTCCTTAATGTCGGTTGAATTCTCGTGTGTGTGTGTGTGTGTGTGTGTGTGTGGGAGAGAGTGTTTTTATTAGTTTACTTACGTGTGATGACAACACAGGCTATTTAGAGTGTGTGATGTTGGCAAAGGATGTTAAGGCGAGATGTCTGCTTTGTACAGCTGTTTGCATTTGGCTATCAGCCACACACACACACACACACACACACACACACACACACACACACACACACACACACACAGCAAATTTTGCACATACATACCACCCAAAGCTACTGGTCCAGTAGAAGGGGGAGGGATATGGGGATATGGTTTGAACCTCTGCACACGTTTTGGCCACAGGGTGAATCTCCTTGCTGTCAGTTGTGTATCAGAGGAAGGTAATTTCTACAACCTCCCCAGGCTAAAAGTAAAGCACTGGCTGCATATGTATTGGGAAGCTTCATGGAATGAAAGAAAACTTCTGTCAGACTGTTCCAGAAACCTTGAAATTGATTAATCTCTGAATTAGATCCCTGTTATGCCTGAAAAAAGTCAGTTATCCCTTGTTAAGAATGTGATAAATGACGTTAAGTCAAGGAGAGTCTTCTGCCCACTGGCAAGGCAAAGCAAACTTTAAAAGAAAAAGAAAAAACATAGAAAAAGTCATGCACAGGTGATTGCTGTGTGCTTTTACATCCACTAATGTCAAATAGTGTAAAAATTAAAAAGATTACAGGTTACATAAAGCCATTCACAGTCACGCACACACAAACAAGGGTCCACAGCCATATTCTGTAAGGCTGAGAGGTGCTTTGAGCTAAATGCTAAAGTCAGCATACTAACATGCTTACAGTGATAATCTAATTATGCTAGCATGTTTATTTCTTAGCAGGGATGATGATAACCACCTTAGTTTAGTCTGTCAGTGTGCAACCATTTGCTAATTAGCTCTAAACACAAAGTTACAGCTGAAACTGATGGGAATGCCATTAGTTTTGTAGGTATTTTGTCATAAACTGTATAAACATAATATGTTTATTCAGAAGTGTTTGAATAAACAGAATTTTTTTCTGATTATGGCACTAGATGAAAGGTCAAAGGATCACAGTTTTTACAATTGATCCATAGGGATCATGAATGAGCTATAGACCAAATGTCAAGGCAATCCAGAAATTTCTCTCTGAACCAAAAATGTCAGCCTGCTGGTGGCGCTAGAGGATCAATAGGTCATGTTATTAGAATGGCTAAAAAATAGTTTTGTAGCTTCAGAGTGAAATTCATTTTTTTTTTTAAATCTGCAATTACACTGGTGGTCAACTTATAACAACAATAATAAAGTCATAGATGCTCACACACACTCTTCCAGACCTATCACTCTAAACTCTACGCTCTCTCTCTTTATCAGGCCGCTCATACTCCAAGACCCTACAGCAGGCGCCGCTCTCTTTACTTCCCCGTCGTCACTGCCAGCAGCATTTCCATGGTGCCTTCACAAGCCGCATGCTCTGTGCTGGCAGCATCCAGCCAGAGAGGCGTGTGGACAGTTGCCGTGGCGACAGTGGAGGTCCCTTGGTGTGTGAGCGTCCGGGAGGGGGTTGGGTGGTTTACGGGGTCACGTCCTGGGGCCATGCATGCCGGACGCAACAGTCCCCTGGGGTCTACACCAAAGTCTCTGCCTTCAGCTCCTGGATACGCAAGGTGATTGGACGCAGCGACAGAAAAGAAAAAAGGCGATAAAAGGTGAATGATGAAAGATATGACCTTTTGATCAGGAAGAATGACTCTGAAAAGACTTACTTGGTCAGGTGACAACTGATGAATAACTGATGTCCTTGTACTGTGACCTGATTATCCAGTGATGTAAGTTATAACCTGACTTTTAAATGAAGAGGACAAGGCGACGCTGGCCTTTTTCTCCTCTAGAAACGTTTTATATTTTTAGGAGAGATGAAGGCATGTCTTTTCTCTCATCTAAGTCATTAGCACTTATTTTAATGATTTAATATTCTCATGAATGGCAAGATATCGGATGATGTTAAATCTCAACTCAAGAAAATGCCATAACTTAAATATATTTTTGTTGTTTCTTGTGATATTTCATACTACACTAAAATGTCTTCTCAAAATAATGTTTTCTGTGCTTGCTTTTGTTATATTGTAATTTATGATATGAAATGTGTGATTAAACATGTTTTAAAAGGGACCACAGTGTGAAAACCAATGTACAGTATAAATGCATGCAGTCATGCAGACACAGTAGGTAATGGCATGAAAGGAATTTGCAGACTTGCACTACGACCCCCCCCAGGTACTTAATGCATGATATTCAAGCACTCAAGTCATATTGACATTTGCCAAAGTTAAATATGTCTTTTAACCTCATTTCATTCTTGTTGTCATGTAATTTTCTCCATTGTGCTTTTTGTTCTAGTGTGTAAAAAGCAGATTTCAGGTCTTATTACTTACTCAGGCATTTATAATTTATATCCAGTCAGTATTTGTCTTTGACTCAGTGCTGCTTGACATTTGCAGAGAAAGGAGGAGACTGAAGTGTTTGTGAATCAAAGCACATAACAATGTTGATTTGTCATATCAACACTGTTAATTCATTTTCTTTTGTTCTAGTGGGGCAATTTAGTGTTGTCACCACTGAAGGGAGACAATCTGGTACACTTGAAAAAAACAGACACAACAATGCCTTCTTATTTGGTGTTTACTGACTGACGTGTTTTAATGTACTGTAACATTTCTTCATAAACGTACCTTTTGTAAAAAGTCTGAGTGTGTTTATTAAGACATTTAATAATCTGTTTATGTATGTTAAAATGTTTTGGTGTTACTGCATATGCTTTCTAAGTGGTTGTTGCTTTTTATAGTACACTTTCTGTCACATCGGAAAAGAACGACAGAGCTCTTTCAGGTTTGTTTCTGACTGCAAACTGTCAAAGTGAGCACCACTATGTCAGACAATGCGTATGCACACACACACCCACGCACAGTGTCTGCAGGAATGGCAGCCATTTTCTGAGTTGTCCTCAATTTACAAGGCAAACACGTCATATTGACTCAACACACGTTTGAGAACTGGGACCAGCTGTTTGAGTGAGAATATGTATGAAATAGCATGGCAACATAATTAAAAGTATTCTCATCTTTCCAGCTTTTGTTCCCTGTGTCTTTCAAAAACACGTGAAGTGCAATTATTTAATTTTTGAAAGGTTATTGTTATACTTTTGCTCCTTCCATCAAAACACTTATTTACTCCATGCTTTTTCTCCTTATAAGCCAAACACTACCTCCACAGAGTTTATAGCAGCACAGTATGTATTTACATCCAATGAAATAGCACCATCTTGTGGTTAACCCGTCACCCTAGACTGTATTCCATAATCTGTATAGATGATAATTTAAATTGCAGTTGCACATCTTGCTGCAAAAGTAAAATTTGTGTCTTCATTTGTCTTTTCTGTTGTATGATTTATGTCGACTTCCACTCACACATACTAACCTAGATAATGGCTACTGTCACCTACTTTATAATTTGTTGTCAAACGGATTTGAAAATGAAAATGCATACAAAACCCTAAGCCAAGAGTGCCAACTCTGCTTTGACTCTGCTTTCACTTGATTTTAAAATACTGAATTAATGAGCAATTTGTGAGACATGTTGCTAAAAATGAAATATGACTGTGCTTTTGACTTTTGATGAAGCACAGTTGCACAACAGTTTTTAATCAAAATTGAATTATCTGTCAACCAGACATGATTCTTGCATAATGGTATTTATGCAAAGGTATTTTGCACACACATGAACACAGAGGCAGATAATTCATTAAACAAATGAGCCCAGAAGGCACACAGGCTGCAGGGGGATGTTTATGGGAGTAAACCTGCAACTCCATCATAATTGATCTTGTTTTACATGTGCTAAATTGATTGTCTGATCTTCCAAGAACTGCTATCAGCCAGAACACATTTGTCCATGATTATGTACATGGCAAGTGTTCTTTTTTGTCAGGCTGAAATAAATAATAACATATGGAATTGAATTTTATAATGTTCATATGTCAATATGTCAATGTGTCAGTATGTCAATGTCAGTGGCATTGTCTTTTTAGACGGAATATAAAAACCTCTTTGCTTGTTCCTATATACATCCTATATATATATATATATATATATATATAAACTGATCAGCCATAACATTATGACCACTGACAGGTGAAGTGAATAACACTGATTATCTTGCTATCATGACACCTGTCAGTGGGTGGGATACATTAGGCAGCAAGTGAACATTTTGTCCTCAAAGTTGATGTGTTAGAAGCAGGAAAAATGGGCAGCATAAGGGCCAAATTGTGAAGGCTAGACAACTGGGTCAGAGCATCTCCAAAATTGCAGCTCTTGTGGGGTGTTCCCGGTCTGCAGTGGTCAGTACCTATCAAAAGTGGTCCAAGGAAGGAAAAGTGTTGAACCGGAGACAGGGTCATGGGCCGCCATGGCTCATTGATGCACGTGGGGTGAGAAAGCTGGCCCATGTGGTGCAGTCCAACAGACGAGCAACAGTAGCTCAAATTCCTGAAATAATTAATGCTGGTTATGTATATATTCTGATATATCAGAATGTATATATATAAAATTTTGATTTAATATAATTTATATAGAAAGGTGTCAAAACACACAATATGGGGCTGCATAGCTGCAGACCAGTCAGAGTGCCCATGCTGACCTACACAATATTAGGCAGGTGGTCATAATGTCATGGCTGATCGGTGTATACATATATAGCCCATATTTTTGCATTGTTCTTGTGTTGGTTTTGGTACAAAAATCATAATCAAAATATTGTGCCTAAACATAAATCAGATAAAATTAATAGAGGAACCATCCAGCATTGCCCTTTTTTGTCTTTTCCTTTTTGCTATTCCCACTGAACCTCCATAGCTCTCTGCACTAATGAGCTTATATTCGATGTCACCAGAGGTGGTGCAGAACAGAAGGTCTCATTATACACGATAATTTAATTCTACTCATATCTGTTTCCATCCCTTAAAGTGTGGCAACTTGGGACAACCAGTTGGGAAAGATCTAAGGATAATGATTAAACCTGAATAAGAGGGAGCTCATGCACATCAAATTGGATGCTAGAAGTCCCTCTTCAACCTGCTGCTTTTGAAGGTTTATAGATTTGGGATTTGTGTTACTTTTAGACTGATTATATCTAGAAAACTTGAGTGTACTTCCTTTATCTGGAACAAGGTCTTTTTTGAAACTATAATCTTAAAAAGTTGTTGGGGACTATTGAAGATTATGGTGCAATAACTAATTTCTGGTGGCTTATCACTGGGCTGAAAGTTCGGCTATGCAGCTGCTGTAAATAAATTCCCCTTTTCATATCCCAATCACAAACTTCTTTCTTGTCAACAATGATGTAATTTATAACTAAATATACCCTTTTCTCAACAACCACATTGCTATACACTCTCACACCTTTCTTTGTTTAATCTCAAGTGATAAAAAAAATAAATCCATTACATACATAATATCATATCCTTGTTCAAATATATGCACACTGGAGACTTAATTAGTAAAAACACTGCTTTCCTGCTATTACCCGCCCTGTTAACTCTATAGAAAAGAACCCTGCTGTAAATGAGCCATAACTGGAATACCTAAAATTATTTCGTCCCTTTACACAGTCGGTTCTGGCTCCTTACAAACACAATGGGGTAGTGCAGGGATGGAGCTACTGTAGATAAAGACAATGATTTATGGGGAGCAATATTGTATATTTCTGCCAAAAAGGGGTTCTTTGAGAGTAAAAAAACTGCTTAAAACTAGTAAAAAATTGATTGATGATTGATTTCAAAGATACACCGTGTTCTTTCTCCAACATTCACATGCTTTGGATTTGTCCTTCATTCCTGCCTTACTGGTAATGGGTGTTTTAATTGATTTCTCAAAGAGTCTTCTGATCATTCAGACCAGTTTGGGCAACGCTGTTATGCCTTTCAAGCCATAAAACTGATGGTGAAAGCCTTTTGTGACTTCATGGCTGAAGGTTGTATTCTGCATCCTCTGGTAATATCGAAGCTTCAATCACATTCAAGGTTTATTGCAAATTTTCAAAATTTTATGATCAGAGAAATATTTCAACAGCAGATTGACAAATACAATCTCACCTAGCAGCCCTCACCGCAGTATGTCAAAATACTTACCCACACCATCTAACAGGGACCAATGTGTATCTGATTACCCTTTAGTGCCATAAAGAATTAGGTCTTTTTTGTCTTAAAACAATAGTAAGCTGCCTTCCCAATGCACTTTTAATGTAAGTGAGGGAGGAAAATCCACAGTGGGTATCCTCCAAAGTGAAAGTCTGCTATTGTGTTGTTTGTCTTTTATTGTCATGTCAAGTTTGTGTAACAGTATAGTCTATATTTTACAGTCTGGCATGAAAACATGTTTGTGTGTGCTGTAATAACCTTCCTGTTTAACTTGAACATGATTGTTTGGTAGGTTAGTTGGTAACTGATGCAATACCTCACAGCCATACATTCTTTGAATAGCAAACTGTCATGCACACAATTTCCACTTACCTTTGAGGACAAACAGTCTACCATTTGGGCCAAAGATCACGTCACTTAAATATGTCTGCAGATGTGTCCCTTGACAGTAAAATTCATTAAAAAAACCATCTTATCCTGTCAGTAATATCCATTTCTTTAATTTTGGTTTCTGTGTTTGACATTTAGGGGGTTTTTTGCATTCAAATTGAAGCTCAACAACGTAGGCCACTGGTTTTAAAAAGGAAAAAAAAAAGGAGGTTGAGACTTAAATGAGACACTGACAAAACAAAAATTGCCTGCGGTTACAGTAGCTACTTAAAGGGTCCTGGAATTAAGTGTCATATCCATTAGGCTCATTTTGGTCAGTTTTCCTTCCCACATGCCTCCTTAGTCCTTAGTGCTGAAATCTGAATCAGTACTCATGCTCTGCTAAATGGACACGGCGTTCTTCTGCATGGCAAGTCACAGTAAAATAATGAGCGGGCAATGCATAATTTCCAGTCCATACTTTCCAGTGAAAGCCTCAAGTGACATCTCTAAGGGTGAACAAGGCTACCAGATCTACCAGAAACTAGCTTCACTTTAAAAAAATTAACTCACAAAACAATGAGAACCTATCATGGAAAGTAACAGCCTGTCACTCACCCTGAGTCTATGCACTTATCCTCCCTGCTTATTCACTCTCATTGTGATATATATAAAAACAAAAAAACAAAAAAGTAAGACAAAACAATATAGGGTGCATTTTCTGTCTCGGAAATACGTGGAGCAGAACTTAGTGCAAAGTCATCTCTATAGGAACCACGCACAGCTGACCAGCGCTGTTCTGGTATCATAAATCAAAGGTGAAAATAAAACAATAATAATAGTAATAATAGTAGTAACAACCATCAAAGTCACTGCAGGTCTGCACGAGAGTTCACCACAGTTCAGAACAGGGTTTGGGCATCAAAGACTTGCCAAATGCTCCTTGTCTCCCATAGTTCTCTTTCATTATTCTAATGTGGTCCCACTGTCTTCAGAGCGGTCTTAGTCACTCCTCCATCCATCCATTCATTCATCCTTTCAAGAGTTCAGTTCAGCAAAGTTTCTTTGCGCTGTTATGACCTCTGCTCCCGTCAGCAGTGACACAGCTCCTAGGTGAAACAAGGCACCCTGTCCTTGCCTTCACCTCAGGGTTTTTCCTAAAAGGCCACAGACTGTGCA